TTATTTATTTATTTATTTATTTATTAAATTTATATGCCGCCCATCTCCCCCAGAGGGTGACTTTGTGACTATTTACAAATGCCACAAAGAATCTCTCTTCTAAGACCCCACAGGCAGATTAAATGTTCTGGTCTCCTGAATATGAAAGGGGCTGTTTCTGTTTGATTTACAGGGACTTATATTGTCTTACAACCTCAGCCAGCCCTTACTGTGGCAACTGATTGAGAATAAGGACTAGGTTTGTATCACCACAGGAATGGTTGCTTTGTGCTATAAAACACTGGTGTGGAAATGGCCTGGGCTGCTGTGTTGGCACTCCCGTGTCCTCAGAAATCTGCTTATGTAAAGATGAAAAAAATGGGACGATCAGTCACCTTGTCCTTTTCCCTGGAATTCACGGCCGATACATTGCCCCACTTCTGACATCTTAGTCAAATACGAATTTCATTGGCAGGAACAAAATTCCTCTTGGTGATAAAGAAAAATACCACCACCAAAAAACAGCAGTCATATAACAATGTGATTTTATTGTTCTAGGGTTCTTGCTGCGGTTTTTAATAGCTCGTGCTTCCCATCGCAATCCTACCTCACTGTAAGGTAGATGAGGCTGAGAGAGAGCAACTGGTCCAAAGTTACACTGTGAATTTTGTGGCTGAGTAGAGATGTGAACATGCCTCCCCGCCATCCTAGCTAACATCTGGACCAGGAGAATCTGCGGTCCAAAGGGCCAAGGTGGCAGCCAGAGCGGTGCCCTCAAAGTTGCGTCACACATAAAAAACAGGCGGAGCTTTGATCGCACCATTGTGGCTGCCACCTTGACTTTTTTGACCATATCCTGCAGATGCCCTACCTTGTTGAACCATTACACCATACTGGCTCTCATAATATTCCCATCTGTCATAAATCTAGTTCTCATCCATACACCATAATAATCAATCAATACTGATTACATATTTGTCTTATTTTGTGTGTGTGTCTTTCTTCTCTTGTTTGATGTAATGCGTTTTTAACTAAATGTTTCCTCTTCTTTCTCCTGTGTCTCTTCTCTTTTCTAATTTCTCAGGTTGTAGAAGAATTGAAAAGGACTAACTGCAGTTATATACTAAATAAATATGACACCTATTCAACCAAGGTATTTGGATTATGCCCTGAAACAATGTCTCCAAACTGTGCAAAGTAGTTTTTCGTTAAATCTTTAAAGTGCATTATCATGTTCTTGTTACAGTATTGTTAGACCATGAGACAAGTTTCATCCTTGATAGAACTTACCGATCCATCTGGGAGTTTCAAATACCGAAGTGGGGGGCAGTCCAAAAACAAGATGGCAGCCACAATGGTGTGGTTGAAGTGAAGCTCCACCTGTTTTTTAGGTGGTTTTTATGTGCACACGCAACACACCTGCACCGAAACATAGGTTGGATGGGGTCTCCTTGTCCTGCAGGGTGCAGGGCCATTGACTCCCCCGCAATGGCCTTCTTAAAATGTGGCATCCAAAACTGGCTCAGATATAGTCAGAGATATGGGAGGTTTGGCCTATCTTAACTTCCTTCTTGAAGTGATCAGTGAGAAGTTCACACTCCCTAAATCGGTCTGAATGCTAATGGAATCTGATGCTACTTGAGCCCAAACAGCTTGCCGTACAGCATGACTGTTGTTGAAAAATGCAATACAGTGCAGCAAAGAATGTCAGGCAGGGCATCACCTAAGTACCAGATTCTCTTCTTAGGACATACGGTAATTGCACTATGTGCTTAAATTGCTCCTTTTCAGTGTCCATGCTGGCTTGACTCTAAACTTTGGGGAGATAGATGGCATACAAATTTAACAAGCATTCTGTCTGGACTGAGACACTTTGACTACAGTTTGTAAAGTGTTTAGTCTATGCAGTGTTTCTCAACCTTGGGAACTTTAAGATGTGTGGACTTCAACGCCCAGAATTCCCCAGCCAGCTCCCCGGGCGCTGGGGGTGTTCCTGGTGGTGTGGCGCCCATCCTGCTAATTTTTAGTTATAGGGAAAGGAATATGCTGGAAAAACAATAAAAA